AGACTCAGAATTGACTTGAAGGTAACTAACAAAAACAATTCATATATATATATACACACACACACACACACACATATATACATATATATATGAATTGTTATATCTATGCATATATATGTATGTACATATGTTTTATGTATGTGTGTGTATACACACACACACACACATCTATATATATAATCTTCACCACTTGTCTGTAAGTTTGTCGTAATGCAGTGACTTGCATGTTGCTGTGAGGCTGGAAGCTATGCCACTAGTATTTCAAATACCAGCAGGATCAACCATGGTGGACAGGCTTCAGTGGAGCTCCCAGGCTAATGCAGACCAGCAATAAGGATGGGGCCATCCACTTCTAAAAAACCTGCCCAGTGAAGACATTATGAAAAGCACTGAAACTGTTACATATTACCGGAATATTCCCTGCTATGGTGCCAGAAGATGAGCCCCTAAGGTTGGAAGGCACTGAAAATATAATTGGGGAAGAGCTGCCTCCCAAAGTAGAGTTGATCATAATGATATGGATGGAGTAAAGCTTTTGGGACCTTCATTTGCTGATAGAGTACAACTAAAAATGGGAAGAAACAGCTGAAAACATCTATTAACAATCGGAACATGTAATGTATGAAATACGAATGTAGGAAAATTGGAAGTTGCCAAAAATGAAACGGAAAACATAAAGACTGATATCCTAGGCATTAGTGAGCTGAGATGGACTGGTATTGACCATTCTCAATCAGACAATTCAATGGTCTACTATGATGGGAATGACAAATTGAAGAGAAATGGCATCACATGCATTGTAAAAAAAGATGCTTCAAAATCTATCCTGAAGTATAATGCTGTCAATGATAGGATAATATCCATACACTTACATAGAAAACCAGTTCATATTGCTATTATTCAAATTTATGCACCAACCAGATAGCCAAAGATGAAGAAACTGAAGATTTTTACCAACTTCTGCAATCTGAAATTGACCAAACACGCAATCAAGATGTACTGATTATTACTGGTGATTGGAATGTGAAAGTTGGAAACAAAGAAGAATCACCGGTACTTGGAAAATATGGCCTTGGTAATAGAAATGATGCCAGAGATTGTATGATAGAATTTTGTAGGACAACTCATTCACTACAAATACTTCTTATCAACAACATAAATGGCAGCTATACACATGGAACTCACCAGATGGAATACATAGGAGTCAGATTGACTATGTCTGTGGAAAGAGGCAATGGAGAAGCTCAATATCATCAGCCAAAACAAGGCCAGGAGCTGACTATGGAACAGATGATCAAATGCTCATATACAAACTCAGGCTGAAGCTGAAGAAAACTAAAACAAGTCCATGAGAGCAAAAATACAATCTTGATTATATCCCACCTGAATTTAGAGACCATCTGAACAACAGATTTGATACAATGAATACCAGTGACTGCAGATGAGACGAGCTGTAGGATGACATCAAGAACGTTATATACGAAGAAAGCAAAAGCACATTAAAAAGACAGGAAAAGAAGAAAAGACCAAAATGGGCGTCAGAAGAGACTCTGAAATTTGCTCGTTAACAGAGAATAGCTAAAGCAAATGGCGGAAATGATGAAATAAAAGCTGAACAGGAAATTTCGAAGGGTGGCTCGAGAAGACAAAGTAAAGTATTATAATGAAATGTGCAAAGACCTAGAGTTAGAAAATCAAAAGGGGAGAACACACTTGGCATTTCTCAAGCTGAAACACTGAAGAAAAAATTCAAGCCTTGAGTTACAATATTGAAGGATTCTATGGGTAAAACATTGAATGATACAGAAAGCATCAAAGTAAGATGGAAGTAATAGATTCACTTTACCAAAAAGAATTGGTCAATGTTCGACTTTTCAGGAGGTAGCACATGAATAGGAGATCCAGTGGCATAGTGCCTGAAGTACCTGACCGCTAACCAGAAGGTTGGCGGTTGAAACCCACCAGTTACTCTGCTGGACGAAGACTGGGCAATCTACTTTCATAATGAAATACTGCCTTGGAAACCCAGAGGGTCACTATGAGTCGGAATCGACTTGATGGCAGTCAGTTAGGTTTTTGTTTTGAGCATATGATCAATTGAGAACCAATGGTATTGAATGAAGAAGTCCAAGCTGCACTGAAACAACTGGTGAAACAAGGAGTTGGTGGAATACCCATTGAGATATTTCAACAAACACATGCAGCAATAAAGGCACTAACTCATTTATGACAAGAAATTTGGAAGACAGCTACCTGGCTGACTGACTGGAAGAGATCAATATTTATGTCCATTCCAAAGAAAGGTGGTCCAACAGAATGTGGTAATTATTAAACAGTATCATTAATATCACACACAAGTAAAATTTTAAAGATAATTAAAAAATGCTTGTAGCAGTATACTGACAGAATACTTCAGAAGAGGACGTGGAATTAGAGAGATACCATGCTAATGTCAGATGGATCTTGGCTGAAAGCAAAGAATACCAGAAAGATGTTTACCTGTGTTTTATTGACTATGGAACGGTCAGTAGTCGAGTATTCGACCGTGTAGATCATAACAAATCATGGATAACATTGCAAAGCATGGGAATTCCAGAAAATTTAATATTCATAGACCAAGAGGCTGTCACTGCAACAGAATAAGGAAATATTTCAGGGTTTTAAATTAGAAAAGGTGTGCATCAAGGTTGTATCCTTTCACCATACTTATTCAATCTGTATGATGAGCAAGTAATCTGAGAAGCTGGACTATATAAAGAAGAACACTACATCAGGATTGGAGGAAGACTCATTAACAACCTTTGCTATGCAGAAGACACAACCTTGTTTGCTGAAAGTGAAGAAGACTTGAAGCACCTACTAATGAAGATCAAAGACTACAGTCTTCAGTATGGATTATACCTCCACCTAAAGAAATAAAAAATCCTCACAACTGGACCAATAAGTAGCATCATGATAAACAGAGAAAAGACTGAAGCTGTCAGGCATTCCATTTTACTTAGATCCACATCAACACCCATGAAACCAGCAGTCAAGATCAGACGTTGTATAGCATTGGGCAAATCTGCTGCAAAAGACCTCTTTAAAGTGTTAGGCAACAAAGACGTCACTTTGAAGATTAAGGTACGCCCCGTGGTATTTTCAATTGCCCCATATGTATGGAAAAGGTGGACAATGAATAAGAAAGACTGAAGAAGAGTTGATGTCTTTGAATTGTGATGTTGGTGAAGAATACTGAAAATAATATGGACTGCCAGGAGAATGAACAAATCTATCCTGAATGAAGTGCAGCCAGAATAGCTTGGAAGCAAGAAGGGCTACATTTTGTTTCACCTACTTTGGTCATGTTGTCACAAGGGACCATTACCTGGACAAGGATGTCTTGCTTGGTAAAATAGAGGGTCAGCAGTAAAGGAGAAGACACTCAATGACATGGATTGACAAAACGACTGCAAAGATAGGCTCAAGTACAGCAAGGATTGTGAGGATGACATAGGATTGGGCAGTTTTTTGTTCTATTGTGTATGGGGTCTCTATGAGTTGGAGCTGACTGGAAGACACCTAACAACAGATTATACGCACACACACACATACATACATACGTACAAATATGCCACTGCCATCAACTCAATTCAATTCATAGTGACCCTGTAAGTCAGATATCTACATCTATATGTACTTGAAGCTGTAAATTCAAGTGGAGTTTAAGAATACTGTTCTCTCTTGGTTTAGGAGCCAAATTAGTCACCGTGGCTTAACTTCTGCCAGATAGCTTTGGCATTTTTAAAAAGATGTTTTGTCTGTTTGCTTATCTGCTGACCCAGACATACATTTCCACCCCCCACATATATACATATTTATTTGTTATTTCTCAGAATTTACATACTAAAATATATTTGGGAAAGGAGGAGACATTAAGTCTCTGGTATTTCTTTTAAATTAAGAACAAAGGCTACCTTAGAAGTAATCAAATTTACTCCCCTATACAAATCCACCCCAACTATCAACTTAGGCTTTGAACGTGTGCAACTACTCAAACTTCCCTGAAACATCTTGCACGTTGATAGGTATTTTGTAGGAAGTGAGGTACAACAGAATAACATAAATCAAAAGCTCAACATCGTGCAGTGTCTGTCACATGTATAGCATGAATTGTTTAAATTTTCATTGCCAATGTTTTAATTTTTTTTTTTTTTCCCTTCTTCTCCACAGCGTAGTCAGTAAAAAAGATGTTGGCCTTCAAAGCCAAGCTCCACCTAATTCCTGGGTCAGATCCTTATATAGTATACCAGAAGCAGTCCAATTTTTGTCACAAGTTATTCAGAGGTTCTGGCAATGGAGAAGTCTCAGGATAACCATTTACTCTTGTTCCCAGCTTTTAGAAGGCTGAGATACAATCCCAGAGACATATACTCTCCGTTTAAGAAAAGAGATGTATGTGCGCACTCCAGCGTTTAAAGGCCTACAAAAGTACTGACTGTAAAGGTGCAACAATATACAGTCATTGTCATTTGGATCTATTTAAAAATTCTACTAGGGAGAGAAGGATGATATAATCTTCTTCGTAAACAGGGAGGTGCGCGTGTAGGATCCCAGGCGCCTTCAATGAAGCTAAAGTATGGAGAGCAGCCAAGAATCTGCAACTCTGAGTGAAGCGTCCCAGTCGGCTCTATGGAAACCAGGGCGCGGGTGGCCTAGCGCCCAGCCGGGAGAAAACAGAGCCGCTGAGCTGCTCAAAAGGAAGGTGGGGGAGGGACACTCTGCCTTGCAGACAGGAATTTGCGGCCGCAGCCCACCAACGCGGGCGCCGAGAGCAGCTTTCCGGGGAAATGGGAACGAACGCAGCTGAGGAAAGCGCGAGAGGCAGGCACCGCCGCCGCCCACCTCAGCTCCTTCCCAGCTTTCCAGCCGGATAGCAGCAGAAACTTCAGAGGACACAGCGGGAGAAATATCCCCATATAGTCAAGGCATACTGTGTCTTCGTAGATGAGACCCTTTACCTTCCTGGCCGGAGTGTCTAAGCTGCTTCCCTCGGTGTCAGTGGCGGCGACGACTGCCGCTGCAGCACTCCCTGCTTCACTAATCCGGGTTCTGGGAAATAATTTCCCGCTTCGCTCTAAACAGCCCCGGAAGCGATTGTGGGATTTCCGGGTGGTTGTCAGTGACGCTCTCGAGCTGTCGTCAGGGAGGAGTGAGTGGGTGCGGGGCTTGACTATGTGGCTAGAGAGTCAGGCTTTTGGATCAGCTTCGGAGATGGGAGACTGGTAAGTGATTTTTATGTGTTGCTTTCTAGGCCTGATATTACCAGCAGAAGCTTTGGGCAGCGCTGTGGCGGGACTGGAAAGCGGGAGGGCGAGGATTGATCCAAAGTCTTCATCCTGCCCAGTGGCGACTGACCCGTTGTGCGGCTGGAGAAGAACCTTGGATCTCGGCTCACCGCCTTCTCGGCTCTAAGTTTGTTTCCAGTTTGGAACTGGGCTCTAGCGCTGGAGTATCCCTGGGGCAGGCGGAAGACACGGTGTACTCCACTCAATTTAGTACAAAGTCTTTCTACCAGTCATTAAGGAGTGTTCTTACTTTTCCCTTTGGCAGGATTTGTTGACCCTCGATTCTTGAGAGCTGCTTTCATCCTTTTCCTTAGAACTGTTTCCACAGCGTTGGGTACCTTGGGAGTAGTGGACACGTTTTAGAAATACTTGGCAAATGGGGTGGCAGGGTCGTTCCTGATTGAGAATTGCACGTCCTAGCTGCAGTTTGAATTAGATGTGGAGAATGGCCTTTGTTATCCTGCAGTTACAAAATAATAAGTTATAAGAACAAGTTTATAATTTTATGTATGGGCTTTGGGTACTCATTTTACCTTTTGGAAACCGGTGATCAGGAAGAAGGTGTGCGTTCAGGAATGAGTGGTGGTGCTCTGCTCCAAGCATCCTAGATTAGTGGATTCTGGAGAATTTTGGATGGAAGTTTGAAGTAATCAGAAGAGTTCTAAAGAGAAATTGCTTCCTACCGAACGGATAATGCGAGGAAAGGTGCTCATTCATTGGAAGATTTGAAAGATGTGTTGTAGTGAACTTTGGTGACTTCTCTTTTTCTTGAGTAATGAGTTTCTTCAGGTAAGTAGTCTTCACTCACTACCATATATCCAAATAATCACCTTTTTTCCACATGACAGGTAACTGATTGATTTTCCAAAACAGCTAGTCCCCAAAATAGTAGTTCTAGGTATTATTCTACCATAAAGAAAAAATGTTTGGTTGGAGGCTCCCTGATGCATCAGGCAAATGCCTTGTTACCCCTTGAGAGCAGAGCACATTGATTTTCTAATCTCCTTATTTGTTAATTATTAAATAAACTTTCCTAATCTCATAATTTGGTCCCATTTTTGTCATTTTTATGGAATCTTGTACTTTTTCTCTTTTTTCAGTTGAAAGGATTGTAAATTACCTTAGGGAGATTACCTGTTGTTTGTAGATAGTATCTTGCTTTAGACAGCCATTGATATTTTTAAAAGGAGTCATTGATTAAATAAATATTGGGCTTTTACTACATTCTAAGTACAGTGCTAGATGCTGGGTATGATATGAGAAAACAGAATCTCAACTTTAATAAGCAAATTTGATAGGAAAAATTTTAATCATTGCTCTTGTTTTGTTATATCACCATTTAAGTTAATAATAACTATGATCACTTAATAATAACTATGAACAGCTACTGTTTGTCAGGCACTTTACATTCCTTATTTTCTGTTTAATGCTTATTACAGCTCTTCAAGAAAAATGATATTATCCCTAATTTACAAACATTTTATATTGAGACAAGAAAGGTTGTGATTTCCCACACGTTAGGCAATTAAACAGCACAATTAAGGTTTGAACTCAGTCTGCTTAAGTTCAAACTTTGGCTGTTTTTACTGCCCTCTGTATTTTGTTTCATCAATAAATACATCAGAATTACTCTTTTCACTCATTTTCACACATTCAGAAGTCAAATGGATAGCAAAACTTGAGACTAAAGAGATTTAAGGGCTATGTTCACCACTGTAAGGTAATTTCCATATATGAATAACCCAGTTCCTTTCCTTTGTTTATCTTTGCCTAGTTTACCATCCTAACTCAAACAAACTTGTACCATACATTTTTTAAAATTGTGATTTGGGTGAGTTTACAGAGCATATTCATTTTCTGTAAAACAGTTCGTACACACTTTGTTTCATGGCATTGATTACAATCTCTATAACAGAATCTCTCTTCCCATTTTCTCCTTGTGTTTACTTTCTTCCTGTGTCCTTCTGTCCTATGCATTCCTGCCCTCTGTGCTATCTCCCAGTCTAAATACTGGCCTTCTGATCTCTCATGGTTGATAAATCTGAGTGCACCTACCTGGTATAAATGTTCACTTTATGTGCCTGTCTGTTGCTTGCCTGGAAGTGGGAGTGAGTTCAATTCCAGGCCTGAAGGGTAACTAGGGGCCATAGTCTTGAGGGTTTTATCAGTCTCTATCAGATACTGGATTATTCATATATGGTAATTACCTTAAGGTAGTGAACATACCCCTTAAATCCCTTTAGTCTCAAGCTTTGCTATCCATTTGACTTCTGAATGTCACATACTATCTATCCATATTTCTTGAGTGAAAAGAGTGGTAAAAAAGCCTGGTCTTTTTTATGATTTTGAGTTTTGTTCCATTTTTTTTTTCCCCTACTCTATCCAGGATTTCCTATTTTGATCCCTTTGCTAGTGACTAACAGTAGTAACTGGGCACCATTTAATTCTTCTGGTCTCAGGGTCATATAGGTTAAGGTTTGCAAGGTCTAGTATAAGGAAGGTTGGGCAATCCTACTTCTGTAGTGATACTGCCTCGGAAACTCAAGGAGGGGTCGCTATGAGTTGGGGCCGACTTGACGGCACATAACAACAACAACAACAACAGTATTTCCTTGGGCTAGTTGTTTCTACATGTCTTTAGTTCTCTTCATTCTTCTTTGCTCTGAACAAGGAGAGACTAATTTGTTGCATCTTAGATGGCCACTTGCAAGGTCTTCAGACCCCAGTCACTACTCACCAAAGTAGAATATAAAACAATGTTTTTGTATAGTATATTATGCCAATTGAGCTTGACGTCCCCTGTGACCATGGTGCTGAGCCATGGGCCCAGTGACTCATTCCCTCAGGGAGTTTAGCTGTGGGTAAGAAGTTATCATCACTTTGCCCCATTAGCTTTATTATATATATGAACATACTTATAGCACATAAAAATACGTATGTAGAAATATTGTCTGTCACACTTATATATGGTCTTGGGTATATTCCCTTTTGCCCAGACATACTTGATCACCATTTGTCTGTCAGACTGTTATACTTTGGTGGTTTATGTGTTGCTTTGAGGCTGGTTACTGTGCCACCAGTGTTTCAAATACCAGCAGGGTCACCCTTATCACACTGGTTTTAGTGTAGCTTCCAGACTGTGACAGACTGGGAAGAAGAATGGGGCCATCTACTTCTCAGAGAATTGGCCAGTGAAAAACTTTATGAATAGCAGTGAACACTATCTGATACGTTACCAGAAAACCTTATGAATAGCCCTGAAACATTATCTGATATAGTGCCAGAAGATGAGCCCCTAGGTTGGAAGGTACTCAAAATATGACTGGAGAAGATCTTCTACCTCAAAATAAGTCCACCTTAAGAGCTGCCTCCTCAAAATAGAGTTGACCTTAATGATGTGGATGGAGTAAAGCTTTGCTGATGGGACAAGATTCAAAATGGGAACAAACAGCAAAAACCAAAACCAAACTCACTGCCGTTGAGTTGGATCCAACTCACAGTGACCTCTCCTTGGACTTCCGAGGTGATATCACTACAGAAGTAGATTACGCAGTCTTCCTTCTGAGGAGTGGCTGGTGGGTTTGAACCGCCAGCCTTCTGGTTAGCAGTCAAATGCCTTAGGCACTATGCCACCAGACCTCAACGTCAATTAATAATCGGAATATGGAATGTATGAAGTATGAATCTAGGAAAATTGGAAGTTGTCAAAAATGAAATGGAATATGTAAAGATAGATATCTTAGGGATTAGTGAGCTGAAATGGACTGGTTTTGACCATTTTGAATCAGACAGTCATATGGTCTACTATACCAAGAATGACACATTGAAGAAGAATGGTGTCATGTTCATTATCACAAAGAATGTTTCAAGATTGATCCTGAAGTACAATGTTGCCAGTGATAGGATAATATCCATATACCTACAAGGAAGACCAGTTAATACTACTATTATTCAAATTTGTGCACCAGCCACTAAAGCCAAAGGCAAGAAAATTGAGGATTTTTACCAACTTCTGCAGTCTGAAATTGACCAAATATGCAATCAAGATGCATTGATTATTACTGGTGATTGGAATGTGAAAGTTGGAAACAAAGAAGGTAGTTGGTAAATATGGCTTGGTGGTAGAAATGACGCTGTAGATCGCATGATAGAATTTTATAAGACCAACAACTTATTTATTGTAAATACCTTTTTTCAACAACATAAACATATACACTGTGGACTTTGCCAGATGAAATACACAAGAATCAGATGCCATCTGTAGAAAGAGGCAATGGAGAAGCTAAATATCTTCAGCCAAAACGTGGCCAGGAGCTGACTGTGGAACAGATGATCAATTGCCTATATGCAAATTCAAGTTGAGGAAAATCAAAACAAGTCCAAAGAGCCAAAATATGACCTTGATTATATCCCATATGAGTTTAGAGACCATCTGAAGGATAAGATTTGACACGTTGAACATCAGTGACCAAAAACCAGACGAATTGTGAGATGACATCAAGTACATCATGTATTAAGACAGCAAAAGGTCATTAAAAAGACAGGAAAGGAAGAAAAGACCAAAATGGATGTCAGAAGAGACTCTGAAGCTTGCTCTTAAATGCAGAGTAGCTAAAGCAAATGGAAGAAATGGCAAGATAAAAGAGCTGAACAGAGGTTTCAAAGACCTGCTTAAGAAGTCATAGTTATAATGAAATGTGCAAAGACCTGGAGTTAGAAAACCAAAAGTCAAGAAGATGTTCAGCATTTCT